TGAGCACTGAACCCTGTGTATACTTCTCTCATAGCATCTGAAATGTTTTATTTGTTTACCATTTGTTTACCTGTCTATTTTGCTTTACTGAACTGACAAATTTTTTGTGAGCAAAGTATTTGTCTATTGTCTTTATTTATTTACTTTTTATTTTTATTTTTGATGGCTGATCAGTGTGTGGATCTGAACCTCTGACCCTGATGTTATAACACTGTACTCTTACCAACTGAGCTAACCAGCCAGCCCTAGCCCTGCTCTTTTATCCTTAATCTGTCATACCTGGTATGTGATATGTAATTAAATAAGCGTTTATTAAGTGAATGTATGATTAGTGAGTGAGTGAATAAATGAATTAATGTTAACTCATTTTTTTATTGGATCATTTAATGGATCTCCCGTGTAAGAGTAGAATACGCATAATTCTGGTTCCCTGTGGTCCTGCATTGGTAACTACAATTTAATGATTTCTGGGAGAAAATAGCACTCATTTTCAAACTCCTTTCTGGCGGTCCTCATATCATTTAATGGATCTCCCGTGTAAGAGTAGAATACGCATAATTCTGGTTCCCTGTGGTCCTGCATTGGTAACTATAATTTAATGATTTCTGGGAGAAAATAGCACTCATTTTCAAACTCCTTTCTGGCGGTCCTCATTCTCCCCGCAACTCCCAACAACTTTGTAGTAGATCTTTGTTTTTGGCTAGACTTTTTATTATGGCTTTTAGTAGTGTACATATACAACTTTCTTAATTTATGACTTTACCCGAGAGTGGTTGTTACTGATTTGCAAGTCTTTTGAAAATACTGTAAGGATATTTGTCAGATAGAATTGCTCATGTTATTCCAGAAGTGTTTTCTTTCGTTATTGTGAGTAGACCAAAGAGCCTGGGAAATTATCCTTTGGTTGGTATTTATAACCAAACCAGAACACAAAGTGGTATCTTTTTCTCTCTTCCATTAAGACTGTAGCTCTTATTATGAATTCTGGTAATAAATTACTTCATTGAAGTCATGTAGTTTATGATGTTCCTTGGCAGGAAAATCTTTAAAATATTTTACTGTTATAGCAAATTTCACACTAAACCATATTTCAAAAAGTCATTAGTAAAAGTTCTGGAAAAAGAACAGTCACCATCAAGTGATATGCTACCAAAAGATGGATTGCTACTATTTTAGATGATTTGGTTGTGCCAATTATATGGGCTTTTTATGAGTTATGCCCTACACGATTTCCTGTAAAACTTTCATTTAAAATATAAACAACATTTATCTAAACATTTAATTCTCTCCCAATGTAAATACTAAGTCCCATGTTCTTGTAAGTTTTTTCTTTAAATGTTAGAAATTGTCTATATATAGGCACATTCTGCACTGAATTAAATGAAATAATCTTCATCCCAGCTTTCTAGTGACAGTATTTCTATTTGCTGAATGATGAAAAAGTAATTAGTTATGAAATGAGACAGACTGTAATAGATTCTTCTCTAAGTGAAACATTTCAACTGTTCTGGTTCTTGCAAGAATACTTAGCACTTACACTGAGTTTTTGTTGCTTGCAAATGTTGTCATTCAACACAGTAGTAGCCCAGAAATTATTTGTTTGACTTTTAAATTATGTTAGAATTTGTGTTGGACTATTGATATCTCTGAAATAGGTATGTGCAGTACTTTTCATAATATAGTAAATCATACAGTAACATCTTTGTCTTGAAATAAACTACAAATTCCCTAGCTGTTTCTTTGTTTCTGTTCAGAGCCTTCTTGGTTATTTCTTCACTAATCTGTGTCGGTAATGGACTGTATAGTAATCCTCAGATGCAAACAGTCCAAAACAAAACTGCCTTTATTTCTCTATCATTGAAGTTTTCAATCTGCTTTTAGTCTGGGATATAATAATTTGGTGTTGAAACGTTTCTAGTTTTTGGAAATCTTCAGTTATCCCCTGCCTCTCACTTATCAGGCTGACCTGAGATGATAGCACCTGCTTTTCTTTATGGACATACTGTTAAACTAAAATTTGAGGGCAAATTAAAAATTACAGTTGAATGTGATCAACAAGATAGACATTGGGTCATTTTTCCATTCCTAAAACTTTTGTGTGTGTCTGCCAACACGGCTGTTTTGTGGACTGGGGATCCAGAGAAGATAGATATATACATAGACTTCAAGAAGTTTACATTTTGCAGTTGGTTAGGGGGTGATGGGGTGAGAAATAGGTCAAAAATTGCAAAGTATTGTGATACGTTCTGTGGTTGAGATAAGGAAAGGTTCTCATGGGAATGCACAGAGGGGTCATTTAACCTAGAGTTTGAAATGTTGTGAAATGCTTCCAGGAGTAGGTCACATCTGATTTGACTCTTGAAGATTGAGTAGGTATTAGCCAGGTAAAGAGGAAGAAAAGCCTGGAAAAAGACTAATAAGATGATATGACCAGAGAGGTAGGAGGTAAGCCTTTGAATAGATAGTGACTATCACTTATTGAGCCCTACCATTTTCCAAACTCTATATTAGGAGCTTTAAATCACTTACTCTACAGTAACCTATGGGACAGGTACTATTATATGTAGTTAGCAAATGAGGAAGCTGAGAGTCATAACTTTTCTGAGGTCATGACATGATTAATGAGTGGCAGAGCTAGATTTAAAAACCCTAGCTTTTCTGGCTTTTTGTCTAGACTGTTTCTTCTCTAGAAAGGATAGTTTCAAGATGGAGGAGATAGTTAAATAGTTACTGTCAGGCTAGGGCTCAGACCCTTGAAACCCATTGTACAGACTGGGTCACAGACCCCTCATGTGCCAGGCTAGGTCACAGACCACTCACATACAAGTCACAAGCTAGGTAATTGGGAAAGATCCCGGGAGCCATTGACAGAGTTAACAGGTTCATTCCAAAACAAGCTCAGTCCTCAGCTTCCTCATCAGCAGCAGCAGCTTACAGCAGCCTCCAGCAGCTGTGGTGATGGCCTCCCAGGGCATCCTGGGGACCCTGGCAGCAACAGTTTGCGCAACAGTAGCAGCCTCCCTGTGGCCCCTTTCCCCCAGGGGTGTCCTGGGGGCAGGGACACTGTGGATCAGAGCCACTCATCCTTTATACTGAAGTCTGATAACCCAGGAACACCTGGGTGCCCACTCGCATCCATAGAAAGTAGCCAAGGAACACCTGTGCTCAGGGGCACAGTTATCGTTTACATCAAATGCTCAGCAAGATTCCGAACCCTGTAGGGATCCTGACCATTTACTTTCACTTTCCCTACAGTTACTATGTTGTCGAAAGGTCAGGTGTATAGGTAAAGTTCTGAAAAGTGTCCAGGGGTATTTACAGTGACTTGTTTATTCACTCCAAAAATATTTCCTGAGAAAGACTGACAATATAAAAGAAGAACTTTTAGATTTCATATATTTAATTGAATAGATTGCAGAATTATCCATGAATTCGTAATAGGCATAGAACTTTAGTATGATTGTGCTGCTTTTGGGTAATGGAGTCTTGAATAAACAATGAAACCTCTTATTCAAATGATTGCTGTGACCTCTTATATCTGATTTATGCACTCCTTTTTACTATCTCTCAATTATTCTGACCATACTCCTGTCTACCATAGCATTTGTTATATTGAGTTAGTGTCAGTGATGTCTCCCTCTTAGACCATATGCTTCTCTGGAGGGGGGTTGAGTAGAGATTATATCTAATGCCACCTAGCATCTGGTATAATCTCACTTTAATAAATGCTTATTGAATCAGTGAATTAGAGTGAGTTTCTTATTCGCACCATTTCGGAACAACAGTTTTTTGTTTTTTTTTTTAAGTGCTGAGGGTTAAAAGGTACTTGGTGAAGATTTTGTTGTCTGTTATAAATTAGGCACATAATTTATATTTAGGTATGCTCAAGTACAAATAAAAAGAGGACTTTTAATATTTTGGATGTTGAAAGAACCTCGTTGGTTATTTTTCAGGGAAATCTGTAATGATTATTTTATATATGGGTTACAGTATGCTTAAAAATAATTTTTGATATTGTGGCAAGTTGTGTCGTAATTTATTTTCTTCAGTTTATAATTACATGCTTTTTGTGAGATTTTTTTCTAGGCATAGGAAGACAGAAAAGTAAAGGATTGCATTTTAGTAAGATGCAACGAAATTTTAATGTAAATTATCATTGTGTTTTGTTATTTATTATCAGGGGAATAGTGTTTTATATAAAATATTTATTTAAAATTTATCATCAATCATAATTATTAGGGCATTTATAAATGCCAGTTGCAATAGATAATGATGATTTAGTCTATTTTCTTTTAGGTCTGTTAGATTCTCTTTCATTTTTATAATATAGAATTTTGAAAATTATCCTAATAAAGTTCAGTGGTTTGTTCAACTCAAATATCAAAGTATACTTAATTTTAAAAATATGTATATACACATATGGGGAATCTCTTAACTTTATTCCCGTTTTTTTAGTATAGACTTTTGATGCTCCCTTTGATTTCTATAAGATGTGATTTAAAGGAAAAACTAATTCCTAATTTCTCCTTATAAATTATCAGCAACTACTGATTTATGTTTATTTTTAGATTAAATAAAAAGTTTATGTCGTTTTTTTAGTATAGACTTTTGATGCTCCCTTTGATTTCTATAAGATGTGATTTAAAGGAAAAACTAATTCCTAATTTCTACTTATAAATTATCAGCAACTACTGATTTATGTTTATTTTTAGATTAAATAAAAAGTTTATGTTAACAATAAGGAATAATTTCATAAAACTTAAAGAATTTCTTAGGTTTATCTTTTTAGAGGTTTAAATTCAATTTATCAGTTCAAAGAAACCAATTGTCGTCTATCTAGAAGTTCAGAAAAAAGGAACCCTCACACTTTTTTTGCTTTTTTCCTTTAAAGCTTTGTGTTAAAAAGCCAGTGATGCAATTTTTAAAAGTTGTATTCCCTGTGAATGTGGTATGTAATTCCCAATTATTTTACTCATTGATGTTATGGAATTTTGTTTCAGAATCCTGTCCAAAAGATTCCTGATTCACATGAGATAACACTGAAACATGGCACTAAAACAGTAAGTTTACAAAATTTGGTTCTTTTCTCTCAATTACAGGACTCTCATGGAAAAGTAAAGTAATAAAATACATTTGTATTAAGGCTAATTACACAATCAACTGATGTCATAAAAGCTACAGACATTTAAAAAAATAGATTACTTTTATGCTCAGTCAAAATAGCTATTGCCTTTTGTTTAATATAGGAACACTTATTGCCATTGTTTTTGTTGGCTTTCAAAACCTCTTTTTCTTTGATATATAGGAACATTACAAGTGGAAGAAAGAAATGAAACTCAAAAAGTTTTTTTTTTTTTTTAGTGGTGTGGGAAAATATCTCATAGCATTAGCTTTACTTTGTATCATTAAAAGGCATGAGTTCATTTTTCAGATGAATGCTGAGATAAAAAGTGAACTTTAAGTAGTCACTGTATTGCTTTAAGATTATGTTACTTGGTTTATAGATTGCATTTTTTTGTATTGTATTTGCATTTTTTATATTGTATTTACTTATTTTTTTAAAGAGGAATTTATATATAAAGTATTTGGAGTATAAGATGGAATCATTGCATCTTATTGCAAAACCATTAAAAAATTGTGCTTGAATGAGTGAAATGTGCATATGAATTGAAAGAATAAGGTTCTTACTTTCTGTTTTCAATGAAGCTATCTTTTTCTAGATGTCTGGAATATGAAGAAGTCAGAAAATGCCATAATGAGAGGGAAAACATCAATCAATAGATAGGAATGTAAAGATTCTTGAAACCAAAATATTTGAAAACTGCTGCCTTAAGAAATCATTTCTAATTTTTATTCTTCCACCCATCCATCCATCCATCCATCCATCCATCCATCCATCCATCATCCATCCATCCATCCATCCATCCCGTCCATCCGTCCATCCATCCATCCATCCATCCATCTATCCATCCATCCATTTATTTATTTATTTAATTTATTTACGTATGAATGAATGAATGATTGGTACCTTGACTTTGGTGTTATCAGCACAACTGAGCTAACTGGCCAGCCCTCTAATTTTTAATGTTATATCTATTTTTTGTTAAATCAGACTTGATATTTTTATTGTGAAACTGTGATGCAATTCTGCTAATTTTCATGTTTTTATTTATTTGTTTATTTTGGTGGCTCTCTGGCACAGGGATTGAACCCTGGACCTTTGTGTTAACAGCACTACACTCTAACCAACTGAGCTAACCGACCAGCTAATTTTCATGTTTTTAGGTAAATAAGGAAAGTAATTACAGACTGTTAGTATTTAAGAGAATTTTACAAGTGAGAGATAATTCATGGGTTACACACATTTGATTTAAATATTTCCTTTTTTAAAAAAATTGTTTTATCTTGTAGAGAAACATAATTAAAAAATACTCCAATGTGTCTTACACATTGAAAGACAATTACAGCATCTAATTGTACTGTTGGGTTAACTCATTTTTTTGCAATCCTGCCTTTTCCATGCTTGTATTTGTACTTCTTATAAATGTCAGATATTAGGAAGTTGACTCTTCTATCTGGTCTCTTTTTTTTTTTTTAAAATTGAAACATAATTGATTGTATGTATCCGTGGGGTACAGCATTAAATGTCTGTACCTGTGTGCAATATGTGATGTTCAAATTAAGATAATTAATATATTCAGCACTACACAATTAGCCATTTTTTGTGGCCCTTTACCAATTTCTCACTAACACCCCCCTATCTTTTTTATTTTTAACTAGTTATTATAAAAATGTTTGTAAGGCCAATCTTGTTTGTTTCCTACATACACTTTACATTATTAGTACCCCTCATCCCAACCAATGTTGCAGGATTGTTTAACAGCAAATACCAGACTTCACATGATTTCATCTATAAATATTTCAGTGTGAATTTTTAAGAGATGAGATTGGTCTGTCTCTTCTCTCTCTCTGAGCATGCATGAGCATGCACTCTCTCATGTAATAACATCTTTGTTATATCTAAAACTTTTTCAGTAATTATTTAATATCAACTAATATCCCATTAGTGTTCAAATTTTTTCTGGTTGTTTCATGTCTTTTTACAGTTAATTTGTTTAAATAACTATCTAAGTGATGGCTGATTCACTCTTAAAAGAGTCATTGTTGTGTTTATTTGTAATGTCTTTTAATCTATAACAGTTTTTCTGCTCTTTTTCTCTTTGCCATTGAAGAAATGTATCTGTTTGGTGAATATACTTATTTATGGCATGATAGTCAACTGAACTGTTCCAAGTGAACGTGATAATATATTGTGGTTTGACTTTTATGTTTATCACATGTGACGGGAAGAGTTGTTAGATACTGTTATGGTTTCAAAACACTATTTTTTCCACTTTTTTAACTTTCTGGGTCAGGTTGAACAGTACGATAAGACTGGAAATTTGCTTCAAAAAAATGAACAGACTATTATTGTTTACATATCTGTATGTATAGCACTTTCTCAGTATTGTAGACCAAAGTAACGTCAATAAATATATTAGATGCTAGACTTACATAAAAGTGTTGCTGCCATCTGATGCTCCAATTTTAAATTTGTATGGTATTCAGGATATTCTTACTCTTCTTGTTAAGTTTTTAACAAGTACATACAGGCAGCCCTGTTTTGCACGGGGCAGTGTTACAGAAACCTGTGCATATTGGCACTGTGTCTTTGCTGAGTTCCAGTTTGTAATGAATTTCAGTAACATGGCTCAGTGCAAAGCAAAGGCTGTGCTTGTATTATAAAATCAACTTCTGAAATAGGTTAGTACTAATAATTTATGTGAAAATCAGTTAACCACAGTGTAAAAGTTTCTTTCTAGATTCTCAATTATATTCCATTGATTTATAAGTCTGCCCTTATGCTAATACCATACTATCTTTATTACTATAGCTTTGCAGTAAGTTTTGAAATTGGGAAGTATAAGTTCTCCTATTTTGTTCTAGTTCTTTAAGATTGTGTTAGCTATTCTGGGTCTTTTGCATTTTCATATGAATTTTAGGATCGGATTGTCAATTCCTTTAAAAAGGCCAGCTGGGTTTTGATTGATAGGTATTACATTGAATCTGTAGATCAATTCAGGAAGTATTGCCATCTTAACAATATTAAGTCTTCTGATTCATGAACATGGAATGTCTTTCTGTTTATTTAGATCCTTAATTTTTTAAACAATATTTTGTAATTTGCAGTATACAAGTCTTATACTCTGTAACATTTCTTAGTATTTTATTCTTTTTGATGATACTCATAAGTGGAATTATTTTCTTAATCTCATGTTCAGATTGTTATTAGTTGTGTATACAAATAAAATTGGCTTTGGTTTGTTAATCTTATTTCTTTCAACCTTGTTGAACTCATTTATTCTAATAACTTTTTATTGGATTCTGTATGGTTTTCTATTGTACAGGTTGTGTCTGTGAGTATAGTTTTGCTTCTTTCTTTCTAATATGTATGTCTTTTATTTCTTTTTCCTGCCCTGACTAGTATTTCCTGTACAGTGTTGAATAGAAAGGCAAGAGTATACACACTGGTCTTGGTCCTGATGTTAGGGGGGAAAGGATTTGGTTGTTCGTCATTAAGATGTTAGCTCTTTTTCACAGATGTCCTTGATTAGGTTTAAGGAATTCCCTTCTATTCCTCATTTCTTGATATAAAAAAAAAATCATGAATAGGAGGTTGGATTTGGCTAATACTTTTTTGAGTCTATTGAGATGATCATGTGTTTTTTGTCCTTTATCCCATTAGTAGTTTATTACAATAATTGATTTTTTGGTGTTAAGCCAACCTTGAATTCTTGGATTTATTCCTGGAATAAATCTCACTTGATAATGGTGTATCTTTCTTTCTATATATTATTCAATTAAAATGATAATTCTTTCAACTCTATTGTAAACAACTGTTGTTTTAGACCAACATTTATATTGTATGAGTTCCTTATTTCAGTGTGATTAAAATGCATCTGAGGAATGACCAGACTTCTGTTCTTCAACTTGTTGGGACATAAGGATTGAGAAGTAGTTTAGACCAACATTTATATTGTATGAGTTCCTTATTTCAGTGTGATTAAAATGCTTCTGAGGAATGACCAGACTTCTGTTCTTCAACTTGTTGGGACATAAGGATTGAGAAGTAGTTTTACAGATCTTGTGGATGGCCATGTCTTTTTTAACTGGGGTAGAATATTTTTTACCTCTGAGCTCTATTTTCTGTTTAACTCACTACTTTTCATATCCTTTTGGTGGGTGATTAACCACAGAGATCCTGATACTTCAGAATACTAGCATTGAAAACCTCATTTGGTCACTGTGCTGTAAAATTTGTCTTATTTCTTCTGCCCTTAGCTAGGAGAATAGTCAACTTTGCAACTTATTCTATTGTTCTTTCTTGACAGAGGGAATTTATCTCATTTTTGTTGGACTGCATTGTTGTTTGTGTAACATAAGGTTTAAAAACTTTTAGCACTTGTTCTGTCTTTTAAATATATTTATTAGAATCTTTATTTTGTGCATGGGCACTGTGCTGGTGGGGACAGACGTGATTGTTGTTCATGTGGAGCTTACACTTTCTGGCCGGAGGACAGGCATAGAATATAGCAGCCACATATGAATTTGCAATTTCAAATTGTGTTGTAGTGATGTGAACACTGGTGGATTTCACCTTATCAGGACTCTGGCCGGAGGACAGGCATAGAATATAGCAGCCACATATAAATTTGCAATTTCAAATTGTGTTGTAGTGATGTGAACACTGGTGGATTTCACCTTATCAGGAGAAGGGACACCTCTTTAATTACAACAGCAGGGAAGAAGGATGTATAATGGGCATGGGGGCAAGTGAGTTTGTATGTGGTAGTAGCAGAAGTCACTGCTTAGACTTTGAAAACTATTGTATACTTATTTCTATTTTTGATTGTTTTTTATTTTAAGGCATTATTGTTCAGGTATAAAAACAACTTAGTTCTCATTTGTATGATTTCCTTAACACCTTTAGAATCTATGTCTAATTTTAACATAAAATAAGTCATTAATTATTTGTATATAATTCCCTTATATTCTGAAATCAGTGTTTGGAGATAGTAATTAAAGTGAGTTTAAATTATTTTGTCAGTATCTGTTTTATTTAATTATAGTAATTGTATTACATTGTTACATTTCAAGTTTGTTTATTAGAAGAAGAACTGATTTATGAAGTTTCCTTTGTATAAAACTTCCATCCTTTTGCTGTCTCATGTATATGGTAATCACCTCAAATATTTCTAATCTAGTTTTTTCTTCTGGGTGGGCAGTGTATCCAGAGACTTCCTGCTTTGACAGAATGTTAAATGTAGCTCAAGAACAGTGAATTACACATTGGGTATTCACATGTGAATTGCACCTAGGAAAGTTCACAGGGAAAGCAAATATTTTATTAAACCAATATAAGTACTATTTTAATGTGGTTAGTCACTTATAAATTCAGCTTTAAAAATACTAGTTTAAGGTGACTATACTGAGTCATTTAGCCATATGTATTAGATAATAATTTCTACTTTGTCCTACTTTGTTAAATAGATTTCTTAAAGTTCTATTGATGTTACTCATTTCGGTAATTTTAGATTCATGTGGTCTTCATTCAGTTGTAGTTAAACTATCTTGAAAGGGTTCCTCAAGATTGTATATAGAAAAAGCTGGCTTATTTGTGAGATTTCTATTATACACTAAAGCAACTTAGTTTATCATATGGCATTCCAGTGATTGCTATTCTGAGTACATGATTGAAAAATTGAGACAAAGCTGTCAGGTTAAATTTAAAATATTTTTATTTTCTTTATTTTGAAAGAAATAATATTCATAATAACCAAGTCAAATAATATAGAATGTACTGTTCATTCTTACTTTTCAGAAGTAGCAACAATTGGTGATCTGTGCTTCTAGTGCCTATAAGATAGGGGGTGGGGTTAGAGAATGGAAATTGGGGTTATAATAGACTATGAACTGTTTTTCTCCCATTTTTATATATGTATGTTTTTTTTTTTTTTTTTCATTAAAACCAGGTGTCTGCGTTGGGTCTGGATCCCTCAGGTGCCCGTTTGGTGACTGGAGGATATGATTATGATGTTAAGTTTTGGGATTTTGCTGGAATGGATGCTTCTTTTAAGGCATTTCGATCTCTTCAGCCCTGTGAGTGGTATGTATTCGCTTAGTATCTTCATATTTGAAGAACAGAGTGCTGTTGTCATTTGAATTCCATTTATTGTACAAAAATACAATAAGTTTATATGACTGTATACCACCTTCATTATTCAGATGAAAGTAAAATGAACCTTAAATTTCTTTCCTTTAGTTTCATTAACCTATGTAAGGCATTTTCTGTCTTTAGTTGTTTTTAAAAATATATTTATTTAGAAATTGGTACCTTGCCTAGTTTATTTTAAAACACTTCAGTAAATGACATGTAATATTATGTATTTGTGTATGCATATGGAGCCAGTATTCAGGTGCCAATCCATGCTGCGCTGTCCAGGTATGGTCAACTAGCATATCAGAAAGAGCCTTACATATCGCTACCCTCTTATCCCTATTTTTGACCCTGTCTTTTAGGATATTGCTTCCTTACGGTAACATTTAACTTGTTTCTTTATCTCCTCTTCAGTATTTTACACTACCTAGTTGTTCCACTGTTAGTGACTAGAAATTAAGATAGATCTCTGGATTAAGTTGGTGACACTTGATTCCTCCATGTAAAGTAAATATTTTATACTTGAGATAGGCATGAACTTTGGTTAGATGTAAACATTCAGACATTCCCTTTTACTAAATGAATTTAACATCCATTGATGGTTTCTACCTGAATTAGTTATCTCATTGAGGGTTACAAATTGGGAATCTTCTAATTCTATTATTTCTTCTACATTATTTGTTGACATTCTTCTAAAAGAAGAACTTTCTCTCATTAACTGATGTTATTTGGTTATCCTGAAATATGGTTACAACTGGAGAGGCAGAATAAAGGCTTAGTTATCTCTACTTAGTTACTTATTTTCAGCTTAAGGATTGGTGGTGATAAATGAGCTATTATTGGTAGTGATGAGTGTTTTTTTGGTTTTCTCTTTTTTGAGTATCAGTATTTATTAGTTTTAAATTGTCATGTGTTTGAGTTTTAATTAATGATAAATGAGTTTTTTTGGTTTTCTCTTTTTTGAGTATCAGTATTTATTAGTTTTAAATTGTCATGTGTTTCAGTCAATTGCAGTCATTATTCTTTTTGATGTTTAAATTGTTCCAGATTTGTCCATTGGGAGTCCCTGATTGCTATGTAATTTTGACATGACCTTATTAGTCTTTAAAAGCCTACTTAGTTTCTGGCACAACCTATTGTAGGCCTCCTGGTATGCTCCTTTCCAAGTCCTGGAGTCAGCACTTCCCCAAGGAGCTCTACTTTCTTTTTTGTGGAAATGGTATTTAGGGACCAAATCTGGATGCTGGGCATGCTCGTTGATATTGGGATATTATTGCTTCTTGACCTTTTCAATGGGAAGAGGTAGAAAATATAGATGCATATGCATGCACACATGTGGGTCTGTGTTTAAACGACAAGGTCACATTCATATTCCCATTTTTAAAATTTAGTAAACATTTTATTTCAGAATATTTTTTAATTGATAGAAAAGCTACAAATATAGTAGAATTCATGTATATACCTCATCTGGTTTCCCTTTTGCTTAACATCTTATATTACCATGGGCCATTTGTCACAATTAAAAAACCAAGATTAGTCAATTAGTATTAAATTTCAAACTTTATTTGGATTTCACTGGTTTTTCCACTAATGACCCCTCAAATATACCTCAAAGATACTAATGTAAAGATACGTTTAATCCTATTTGTTTAGTCTCCTCTGATCTATGGTAGTTTCTCAGTCTTTCATTGTTTCTCATGACCTTAACATACATGTATGCATGCATGCATACATACATACATACATATGTACATACACAATTGTTTAAAAATATAACAACCATTGTAGCTCACAAGCCATACAAAAACAGGCTGTGGGGCTGATTGCCAACACCTTTTCAACAAAAAGCAGTAGAGAAAGTCTGATCTGGTACCTTTGATATTTGGCAAGGAAGGAAAATAGGATCCTTTTCTAGCTGTAATTTCTGTTGTATTAAGTAGTGCAAGGGTCATCACTTGATATCCAATCATCTAGCAGTGCCATCCAATAGAACTTCCTGTGCTGATGCAGATATTTTATATCTGCGCCATCTTGTAGTCACTTGTGACACATAGCTATTGAATACTTGAAATGTGACAAGTAAAAGGAACAGAATTTTTTAAGAATTTGATTTTTAACTACGTGTGGCTAAGTGGCTGCTGTATTGGGCAGTGCATATTTCGAACTCACCTTTGAGGGATCACATTCAGCATACACAAACTGCCGTGGTAATAAAGTGCCTCCTGACTTAAAAATAGGTGGTTTAAGATAAAAACAGGAATGCTACCACCACAAACCCACTAAAATTTAGTGTGGATTTTTAAATAAAGGAATAACTGAAATATAGGTATTTATATGTACTTTTTACATTCAGTTTCATTCTCTTTATTTTGTTGAATCATTTTTCCAATATCTCATTTTGACACTGAACATATTAATGATCAATCTTTGTTTTTTGCCAGTTGCAAATTTCACGAGTGTGCAATAAGTTCTCACTTAATTGATACCTCTTGCATGTGGCAGAGTCAGACTTTGCTCTGCCTCTAGAAGCCTTTCTTTATTTTGACATTGATCTGTTAAATAATCTTTTAAGTCAAGTTGTTCACCCAAACAAGAATCCACACACACATATCATTCAGGTAAATACCTCTGTAACTTTTTTGTCATCCACCTACATTATTCCTATATTATCTGTAAAGAAAATCTGAGGGCGTTTGTTGACTATCTTGAAGATAGAGAAACACAGCATGCTGTTTTCAAATCATCTTTTCACCTGGAATAGCAGATGTCAGAATTTGACTGAGATCCAAAAGGCAGCATCATGGTGAATATGTGGGTGCCAAAGAGGATTCATATGCAGAGGACTCCCATTGCTATTCAGGAGGGGAGAAAGAAGTCCTAAGTCTTGGTATCCTGGATGAATTTCTCTAGAAGAGCTCTTTGGAATTATAGTACAGTATTCCTCCCTTATCCATGAGAGATATGTTCCAAGACCTCCATGGATGCCTGAAATTGCAGACAGTATTGAACCTGATTGCCATCAATTGGAACATGTTTCTGTTCATATCTTCCATTTAAACGGTGTTTAATTTAATACCTTTTCCATCTTAACTAAGCATTTATCACACACTGTGGCCATAATTTTTGCAGTTTGAGGTGTGACCCCAAAACTAGCAAAGATTTCTTTTTCTTTCTTTACAATTTCACGGATAAAAGATTCATTCTTACGATAGATCTTAGCTACTCCAGCATACAATTTCTTTTTGTCCTTATTAAGTTGAGAACTTACACCTTTTCACTTAAAGGAAGCACTTTTCAGCTTCCCGTTGCAATATCTGAATTGCCAGCATCACTGTTCTTCTGCTTTGGGGCCACTGTTAAGTAAAATAAGGGTTACATGAACACAAGCACTATGATACTCTGACAGTTGATGTGATAATTCAGATAGTTAACTAAGTGGCTAATGGGTGGGAAGTTTCTACAGCATGGAGATGCTAGACAAAGGGATGATTCACATCTTGGGCAGTTTGGAGTGGGGTGGCATGAGATTTCATGACACTACTCAGAACAGTGCACAATTTAAAGACTTATTGTTTATTTCTGGGATTTTCCACTTAATATTTTCAGACTGTGGTTTATTGCGAGTAACTGAAACTATGGAAAGTGAAACTGTGGGTTGCAAAATGGTGCAGACTTTATGGAAAATGGTATGGAGGTTCCTCAAACAATTACAGATAGATCTACCATATGACCCAGCTATTCCACTGTTGGGAATATACTCAGAGGAATGGAAATCATCATGCTGAAGGGATACCTGTACTCCAATGTTTATTGCAGCTCTATTTACAGTAGCCAAGAGTTGGAACCAGCCCAAATGTCAATCATCATATGAGTGGATAAGGAAACTGTGGTATATCTACACAATGGAATACTACTCTGCTATAAAAAAGGTATATCTACACAATGGAATACTACTCTGCTACAAAAAAGAACAAAATTACTACCATTCGCAACAACATGGATGGACTTAGAGAAAATTATATTAAGTGAAACAAGTCAGGCACAGAGAGAGAAATACCACATGTTCTCACTTATTTGTGGGAGCTAAAAATAAATAAATAAACACACAAACAAATTGGGGGAGGGGAAAGAAGACAGAATAACCCACAAAAATTCCTTGAACTATTTAAGTCAACTGAACAGATATGATGTGGGCTGGGGGGAGGGGGTGGAGAAGAACGGATAATGGGGCATGAAAATCAACTACAATGTATATTGAGAAGTAAAATTTAAAAAAGATCTTAAAAAAAGAAAGTGAAACTGTGAGTAAGGAAGACTACTGTATTTCTGACCTCAAGGACACTTTAAAAAGACTTGAATGTTAATTATTTCCTTGATCTACCAGTTTAAATATCAGGTTTTATTTATTTATTCTTATTTCTTTTTTCTATATTTATCATTACACAATGTAATCATTTTTTGTGGCCCTTTACCAATTTCTTGCTAAGCCCCCTTCCCCTTTTACACCTCTGGTTGGCCTCAGTTCTGTTCTCACCTTTTGAGAGTTCAATAAATTATTGTGATTGTTGTATCTTTCTTTCATTCTTTTAAAAAAATCTATTAATTTTTTTAGCTTCCACTGATGAATGAGGACATGAGGCATTTATCTTTCTGTGCCTGGCTTATTTCACTTAACATAATTTTCTCAGGGTTCATCCATGTTCCTGTGAATGGCAGAATTTCATTCCTTTTTATGGCAGAGTAGTATTCCATTGTATATACACCACATTTTCCTTATCCTGTTGTCTGATGATGGACATCTAGGTTGGTTTCAACTCTTAGCTATTGTAAATGGAGCTGTGATAAACATGAGAGTGCAGGTATCCATTCAACATGATGATTTTCATTTTTGGGGGCATAAACCCAGCAGTGGGATTACTGGATTGTATGGCAGTTCTATCCGTAGTTTT